ACTACTGCTGCAATACTCTGCTAGGGGTTAATCCCCAAACACTAACAGGTTGTCTTAGTCTTAGTCTCAGAAGTCTCTGTTTTCCTTCTGTTGGAGAGTATTGCCGTTCCTCCATTTTTCCTAATTGACTGCTATTCCTGGATTTGATGTAAGTCTGATACTGAACTGTTTTTGATACTGGGCTTTGTTATTGGATTATCCCTGGACTAAAAACTGATTGATTTTACCTGTGAATGACTTTGGACTGCTTGTTTTGAACTTTGCTTAACGTTTCTGAAAGTAAAAACCTACATTTACTGTACAGTGTATCTGTGTGCTGTGTGTGTACTATTCAAACACTTCTCTCAATACGTCTCCCTGTATGCGCTCATTCTCCTAATGGGGAATTACCTCAACACCCACCATTAGAGACTTTTCTCATAGGAATTCCTATGTTGGAATAGATATTTATAGAAAGGAAAGCAATATCAAGTTATAATTTATAAAGTACTTTTATTCCTTTTCTTTCTTTGCTGGTATGGCAGTTCCTCAAATATTTATCTGAATAAAAGCAAACCAATCAGATTGTTTCTCCTTTCTGTTGAGAGAAATATTTATACAATTTCAACTGAAACTATTTCAAGCATTCTTGCAAATTTCAGCTATAAAACAGAAAAGCCCATGATTTTTTTTTTTTCCTGGATGGCATTATTATTATATTTTCCTCATGGGTAAGTGTTATTTTCTGTTAAACTGTTCACTGCAAAAGTTCAGCTGATGAGATGAAGAATTTAAAAGAGAAATTAAAAGATTATAAGAAAAGTTCTTACATGATTCTGCCACACTGTGTGAACAATTTCCTGAATTCTCTCCTTATCTATACATGGAAAGATGCAAAAACAGCAAGATCCCAGCTACAAGCAGTTGTGTATGCATCTTCAAACCTATAAAATAGAGTCAAAATATGATAGCAAGAATTGTTGTCTGGCATCTTATTCTGAAGTGTAAGCAAAAGTCAGGGTTGTTTTTTTTTTTTTTTTTGATAACTCATACTTGAAATATGCCTGAGAAATGCCCATGCAGTAGATAGAATATATGGTATTGAATCACCATTGATGGGGGAAGGGAATCCTTCTTTTAGATGCAGTATCACACATACACTAGAACAGTGTTTCTTAAGCTCAGCACTTTTAAGATGCACAGACTTCAAATCCCAGAATTCCCCAACCAGGAAGCTGCTTGCTGGTGAATTCTGGAATTGAAGTACACACATCTTAATGTTGTTAATGTTCAGAAGCAATGCACTGGAGTGCTGTGCAGTCAATCTGACCTCCTCATATAAGAGTGTGGACTAAGAGTGTGGAAGAAAGAAATACAGTATATTTGATTCCATCCTGCCTGTTCAGCACTAGATTTTCTTGTGTTGAGTAGGAAGTTCTAAACTGATTTCTACTTATGTTCCAATGAACATAACTTCAGAACTTTTACCTCTTGGCCATATACAGGTAGTCCTTGACTTGTGACCCACAACCTAGGCCAAAATTTCTGTGGCTAAGCAAGACAATCATTAAATGAGTTTTGCCCCGTTTTACAACCTTTCTTGTCACAGCTGTTAAACACATCACTGCAGTGGTTAAGTCAGTGACACGGTTCTTAAGTGAACCTGGCTTCCCCATTGACTTTGCCTGTTAGAAGGTCCCAAAAGGGGATCACATGACTCTGGGACACTGCAACTGTCATAAATATGAGTCAGTTTCCAGGCATCTGAATTTTGATCACATGACCATAGGGAACAGTCATAAGTATGAAAAATGGTCATAAGTCTCTTTTTTCAGTGCTGTTGTAACTTTGAACAGCCATTAAACAAACTGTTGTAAGTCAATGACTACCTATAGGATGAAGCAATGTAGTTTGAGAGTCATGAAAATTCACTGCTTTCCTAACTTTTAGCTCTCTTGAAAGGACATCAAATGCCTGTATAGGGTGCTGATATTTTGTGTATCAAGTACCCCTACACACAATAAAACAGTTTAACCATGGTTTATTGAATTGTCAACACAATTGACTGGGTTTTCAAAATACCACTAAGTCTTAAACCACATTTTATAAATGATATGGTTTTGCTCAACCTAATCAACCATAACCAAATCATATTATGCTTGAATGAAATGCAATTACAAAACTGCATTTCTCACAATCCTATCCCAATTTCTTGGACAAATATTAACATTCTAATTACAGTGGTATGGCTGACTACATAGAACATATTTACCAATCTTTACATGTGTATTATCATTCTCCAAGGCACATATCTGTACGGAATTTTTCCATGAAAATTCTCATTCTACTAGGTCTACAAGTGAGGGGAATCAGAGCTATGCTTTCTTTTTGCCTGTTAATTTGTCTTCTTTTTCTTTAACCTTTAATCCAAAATAATTGCACTGATGTTTTAGCTATGGAATATCTTTTCTCTTGCCTTTTACCTCTTTTTTCCCCTAATAATTTGCCTTCGAACTCTGCTCAGTCTGCATATTGGAATGTCAAGCTATCTTATTTCCACTCTTTACTTCTCTGTTTTTATTTTGCCTTTTCAGCAGAAAGATCAAGCTAAGACTTCTTTTAATCTTACTTCAATCTTTTCAGTTCAGGTCAGTATCCAAACAATCATGCTAGTGAGACAAGCTTCTTTGTTTGATTTTAACAACGACAGCCTTTATTCCAGATCAAAACAATTCTCAGTTGTATAAAACACCTGAACAAAGTTTGGGCTAATTTCTTGAGAAGAATAACAGGTGGAGTGTCAGTCATTTTTACCTGGCATTTAAGCTGATACATCAGTGGAACCATTGAATGCCTGGCAACAGCATCCACCGAGCAACACACATGCCAGAAGGATATGTAGACTAATATATTGGTCTAGGTTTTCAGGACACTTGGTTCCAAAGTCAGGAGTCTGGTTAGTATGTGGTCTGCAAAGCTGACTACTTTGCCTCTGAAAAAAACAGCCACAGTTGCCAGCAAAATCAAGAAATCTGTCCTCCAGGCCAAGGTCACTAAACCCTAAAGTCCAACACTGCCCAATATGTAGACTGCTTACCTTTGTTTGAGAAATCAATACTGCTCAAAAGAACAAATTTGGGGATACAGCAAAATGGGTTGCAAACAGTATTTCTGGCCATGGGAACAGATGGAATGGGAAAATCAAAATAAGTACTTAAAAAGAAAGCAAATGAAGAGTGCAAAGCAGAGCAAGGTGATGAGATTGCAAAACATGCTCAGGCATAAAACTTAATAGATTTGGAAGAAAGACAAGGGGAAGAAAACCTTGGTCAGCAGAAATGGAATGCCACCTATCCGATATCATTATCTGTATACTAAGGTGATACATTATCTTTTCAAGCCCCAAAGGTTCTTTTTTAAGAGGCAACTGGACATTCTGGTTTTTCTTTGAAGACATTTAGCTTCGCATCCAAGAAGCTTTTTCAGAGCTGAAAGAAGCTTCTTGGAGGAGAAGTTAAATGTCTTCAAAGAAAAACCAGAATGTCCAGCTGCCTCTTGAAAAAAGCACCTTTGGGACAACCATGAGCTGGATGACTGAGGATCTCCATAGATATCTTACCAAGCAGCTTCTGTTTGCATGTTAGTGGCATTTTACATTTTTTAAACATTCTTCATTGCATTTTATTTATGTTTCTTTTTTTTTTCTAGTCATGCTGGCCGGGGCACAGGCGAGTTAACGGCACTATCGTTGGTGGAATCTGTAAGCCATGCACTTGTTTTGGTCACGCAGAGTCCTGTGATGATATCACCGGAGAGTGCCTGGTAAGTGCTGATTGACAGCTCAGGATAATGTTGCAATTGAATTAACTACCCGAGAGATACTAACTTTTTTTTTAAAAAAGTAAAGGTTTCCCCTGTTCAGTCATGTCCAACTCTAGGGGGCAGTGCTCATCTCTCTTCCCTAGCTAAGGGAGCCAGCGTTGTCTGAAGATGCTTCCATGGTCATGTGACCTGCATCACTATATGCCGAGGCGCATGGAACACTTGTTACTTTCACACTGAAGTAGTACCGATTTATCTACTTGCATTTGCATGCTTTCAAACTGTTAGGTTGTCAAGAACTGGAGCAAGAAGAGGAGCTCACCCCATTTACTTGGGTCTCGAATTGACAACCTTCTGGTGGCAGTCCAGGATCTTAACTACTAGGATACCACACCCCTGTTACAGATGCTGACTAATTAAACAAAAAAAAAGCTGTGATTTGATAGGAAGGATCTTTATAATGGACTGCTTCTGAAGTTAAAAAAATCTCTTCGGTAGTATGATAAAATAACTAATGAGCATAAAGGTGAGCAAGAAAACTTTTGATATTTATCTAACATAAATAGCCTTTATCCAAAATAGCAAAGAAAATGCTTAGAAAACCTTCTGGTGTACAGTACAGTGTTCTAATTTCTGTTGTGTGATTTACTTAACATATAGAATAGTCTAGAAAATTATTAGTAACTGCTATAGTAAATACATCATGCAAGTATAATTGTAATTCTCAGTAAATACCATAAAAATTCTTACGAAAGAAAATGATTGGAAAGGAAACATAGCTTAGGCTACATGGAAAGGTGCCTTTTCCTGATTGAATGCATAAATCATACAGCTGCGTACTAATTCAGAATTAAATGCATTTATGAGTCAGAATAATAATACTCCGAGTACCAGTGTTTCCAGCCTGCTCACCAGCTTATTTTGACTGTGTAAATTACTCTGAATCGTCTGTTTTGATTAACTCAAGGGCATTTTAGTTTTATATTGTCTGACATGGCATGAAGCTTGAAACAACATTTCTCATTTCATTAGTCTTGCAGAAATTCAATTTGAGCCACTGCCAGTTGAATGGGATATCATATTCCAGATTCCCTCTAGTATTTGAACCAACTCAGCATTGTTCTTCTCAAGGAAAAGTTTCAAGGAAAAGGCTAAATAAAAATGCAGTGGGTTTACAATTCAAGCTGGCATTTGAAATACCATTGTCCTTCCTGTTTTCCGTCTGTATGAAATATCTATGTATTCTGCAGTTTAAACTATTTTAAACTGCTGGATTTTTAAAAATGTACCTTCATGAATGAATGCCTGAAAAAAAATCACACATTAATTTTATATTTAACTAGCTCTATACCCAGACTCCGCTATGAAACTATGTGATCGGGCTTAGTTTTGGGGGAGGAAAATAAGGGGAAAAAATTCTGCCTCTGCCTACCAGCATCCAACCGTATTCATCTGGTTAGCGTCCTGTCAATGTGTGAGAGAGTTGAAGGCTTTTTGGAAACTGAAATAGTATTTGCTGTGTGAGCAAGGAGGAGACCATAAGGAGACTGGGCGTGGCTTAGCTCAACTGTTCTGTACTAAAGCTGCTTGGTGCTGTGAAACTAAAACTGAAACTCCTCTGTTTGTGTTTTGCATTTGGGGCAGATTTCTTTTCAGGTGGGACTAGAACTCCTTAGCATCAGAGCATGTTAATAATAATATAGGAAATACTAATGCTCTGATGATCATTTTGAAAAATCCTTTCTTAGTGAGCACTTAGAAGCCAAGAGGAACATACATGCCAAATTTCAAGTTTGTAGCCTTTTTATGGTTCTGGAGATTTTGTGATGACGCGTGAGTGGTATTTTGCTTTTATATATATAGATATAGACATGTTTACAGGACAAACTATATCTTATGAAAATGGTTTTTAATCTCTTAAATTTCTCTATGCCGCTCATTAGTGTAATGTAACAAATATTAATTTTTCTAAATTGAGGCTTGGCTTTGGACAGAGGTAAAATTTGCAAGGCTAAAGGACCTGGAATCTGCTGTCCCAAATGGAATACAATCCAAAACCTTTTTTCCCCAGTTGCTTGTATGTTGTGTGAGGATAGAAGTGTTTATTTTGCCAGTGTTTAATTTTAGAATTAGTTTTCTGTACTAATGTTGCCAACAGATAAATTTAATCTGGGACGACTAGGTGGGAACTGGGAACATACAGCATCTTTACTGCAGTGGTGGGATTAATTTTTTTTTTAACTACCAGTTTTATGGGCGTGGCTTGGTGGGCATGGTGTGGCTTCATGGGCGTGGCTTGGTCGGCATGGCAGGGGAAGGATACTGAAAAATCTCCATTCCCACCCCACTCCTGGGAGAAGGTTACTGCAAAAATCCCCATTCCTTCCCCACCCCACTAACCTGCTTTCCAGCTCTGTTCTCCTGTGCAGGGCAACAAAAGAAGACCCAGCCTATCAGCTGGGACTTGGGAGGCAGAGAATAGATGGGTGCAGGGGTGTCAGAGGTGGTATTTGCCAGTTCTCCGAACTACTCAAAATTTCTGCTAGAACTAGTCAAAACCTGCTGAATGCCACCTCTGCTTCACTGCCATATCTATCTGCAGTGTCATATTTATTTGCAGTTTTACAATGCTTCTCTGTCCTCTTTTCTGTAGTGTTCAGACACAACCTATATCAGAGAAAAATCACACACTGTCTAAACCTTGAAAAACTATTTCTGTTGGCTGTAAGTTAAGTAGGATTGGTTGGTGCCCAGACAGGCTATTAAATGCTGCAATTCAATTTGGATCATAAGACTTTTGAAGTGAAAAAAGGAAGACTGAGAAAGGTAAAAAGACACACTACATCAAAGGGATTTTCCCCCTAACTAAGTCGTATTGCGCCTTTTGGACTTCTCATTACTATTCATCATGTTTCTCAGTAATACAACAGATAATTTAAGCAGCTAATTTACTGATACCTCTTTTGAATCTCCCTTAGCTTTGAAATATAGTTAAAAAGAAACTGAAATATGTTTCTTTGAGAGTTTGATTCATAATAAGATCTCAGATCAAGACGAAGTCTATGTGAAAAAGCCTACCTCTCATACGCATGTTGGAATAACTTGCAAGGTCTTTGATCCCAACAGACTGTTGCATACTGCAGAACTACACATTCATGGTGTCATTGTAATGTACATGATGGCTTCTTCCATAGCTAGCACAAGCTATAAACTGTTGGATTATATTACACTATAGACACATTCTGCCTTGTGTATTCAAAACCATTCATGGACCTTAGTTATTGTAAAATCTTTTTGTTTTCATTTTGTGTGTTTGTTTTAATTCATTACTGACTACACTACTTGTATGCTGCTCTTTCCTGAACCACAGAGCAGCTAACAATGTCAATGTAAGACCACCCCAAATATCTAAAAACTCAGAAAAGATGCAAACTAAGAGATAGAAATGCCATGTATCCATCAAACCACCTTCATTTTCGACGCACCCTGTGGTGTAAAATGGAGCAAAATAGAAGATTGTTTTTCTGGAACCTGAGAGGAAGAAGCTGAAGAAATCTCTTCCAGGAAACTGAAAACATCAACTTCTGAGGCCATATGAGGTGGCAATCTCATCAACACAAGATCTTCAGGGAATTGACCCTCTTTGATCTGGTTGGACAGGTAGATGTATACAGGAGAAGGTCTCCCTTTCGATAATCAGAGCAATGTAGGGTCTTAAAGGTATCAACATAGAGCAGTGGCCCCCAATCTTTTGGGTACCAGGACCAGTTCTGTGGAGAGAGGTATTTCCATTGACAGGAAGGACCATGGTTTCATGTGCTGCCTGCATCCCACGGATGGGGCTTCGCTTGTTTGCATGGCCTGGTTTCTGGCATGCTGCAGACTGGTACTGGTCTATGAACTGGGGATTGGTGACCCCTAACATAGAGAGTTGCCATGTTCATATATCCAAGTTTTTGTGAGTCACCAAGAATCCTTGTGATTGTGGCAGGATGCTATTAGATGGACAGGCTATGTGTTCTGACCTCAGCTTCCCCAAAAAGCACTAAGCAGATTTTTGACCCGGCAAAACCCCTTTTATTAAACAAAGGTGAATTTCTTGCGTTCACATTCAGCAAAAGGCCTGGCAAACAGTCTTTCAAGGGTGTAATTAGGAGCACAGACCTTATCTAGCTTGGAGAGCTGCCAAGTAAATACTTTCAAGCGCAGTGCTGACAAGGAAGGGCTTGGCGCAGAGTCTCTGAGATGCACAGACAGATCTTCATACTCTGCAATGAACGAATTGTTTCCTGCAAAAGCCCCCTCCCCTTTTGCTCCTCTTTTAATCCCTATGGGAGGGGCCATTCACTGTCCATCTGTGGCTTTACTCCCACATCAACCTTACTTCATAATTGTTCTTTTGGCAGCTCTGGGCATGCGCAGGCTGGGAACTGGCTCCAGCTGCTCCCCCGCCTCACTGCTGTCTACCTCCGAAGGCAGTGGATAACTGCCAGACTGTCCTGGCCCCATCTCTGCCTTTGACATAGAGCCCTCATATTCAAGCCTTCCTCAACTTCCAGGACTGCCCATGTTCCTCCCCAACCTCCTCACTGTTCAACTCTGCTGACAGCTCCACTAGCTGCTGGTGGGCCACAGCACTATGGTTCAGGGATGGTTGAACTGGTCTTTCCACACATTATGGAAGGTTGGACTATATGGTTCTTTTTAAAAAAATAAATTTTATTGTTTTTTTAAGACAAACATAGACAAACAAAACATAAAAACATCAAGCCATCTTCCATATATATACATACAGTGTGTCGGTTGGTTTACAAATTGTTTTGTGCTTCCACTTTGTAGTCTTCAATTACAATTACATTGCATATATTCTCATATTGTCAATCAAATATTAAGTACATTAATATCATTGTTTATCAATCATTTGACTATACTAATATTCATTCATGTTTTACGAGATAATCCATATTTTACTTAATTTGTTTTATGACAATTCATATTAT